TATATATATATATATATATATATATATATATATATATATGATGTGTAAAGAGATTTATCGCAAGGTGTTGACTCCTGCCGTTATGGAGGTCGTGAAGTCCCATGGTCTGCTGTGTGCAAGCCAGACCCAGGAGAGGCAGCAGTGTATTTTGAAGGCCTGGGAGCCAGAGAGCCGAAGGTGTGGAGTCCAGTCCAAGTCTACAGCCCGGAGAGCCAGGAGCACGGAAGGCAGGAGCAGATCCACATCCCGCCACACGGCAGGCAGAGAGCAGGCCCAGCCTTCCTCCGTCTTCCCGTTCTAGCCCAGCCCTCAGGTCGGCTGATGCCCACCCACCTTGGGGAGGATGGTCTGCTTCACTTAGTCTACGGATTCAAATGCTAGTCTCATCCAGAAACGTACTCACAGACGTGCCCGGAATCGTGTCGGACCAAACCCCTAGGCACCCCGTGGCCCAGTCAAGTTGACACATCAAATTAACCATCACAGATGGGGAGGGTGAGTCCCCCCGTCCCCGTGAGAAGGGAATACCAGGTATCTTCCCCCAGAGGGAAAAGGCCGCAGAAGTGCTGAGGACCTGGCTATTCGGTGTGGCACAGGCTGGCGGGGTGACATCACGTGGTAGCTGCTGAGAAATGCAGAACCTTGGGCTGACCCCAGCCCAGCTGAAGGAGCAACTGCCCCTTTAACACAGACCCCAGGTGGTTGGTGTGCAGGTTAAAATTAGAGGCAGCTTGGTCTAACCCATTAGATACATAAATCCCATCTCCTGGCAGACTCCTGAAGGTTAAGGACCCCACTCCTTACTATCCAGAGCCACCAGTACATTATTTAGCATAAATAGATGCGATTCATGTTGTTAGCTGTCACCACACCCCCTCTCTCACTACGCTGCCACCAATAGTGGAGGGAATGCCAATATCTTGGTGGCCAGAAGCAAGGAATGAACACATGCAGGAATGAATGAAGGGACATAAAGTTCTTACCAAGCACCCACCATTCCTCCAACAAGATGCTAAGTCATGAGGATGCAGAGATGAATTAACAAAGGAGTCTGCTCTCAGGGAAGCCACAGTCCCCTAGAGGACACTGAGGCACAGACACAAAATTATAATTCAGTGCAGTGAGTGAAGTGACAGCACTGCACACAGGGACCCCTGGCAAGGGAGGAACAGGAATATTGGCTGGTCAGGCTAGGGGAAGTTAGGGAGGGCTTCCTGGAGGAGAAAATCCTTGCTGAGTTTAAAAAGATAAGTAGGTTTTGGGTCAAGAGGAGAAGGACAAAATTCCAGGCAACGGGAATGGTACAAAGAGAAGCCAGGGGTTGGGGGCACCAGGCAGATGGTCGTTCTAATGACGATTTTCAACCTAGTTGCAAAGGATCTCTAAGCCATTGGCTGGAGAAGGCCCTTCCTGGAGGGGACAGCTGCCTAGGGTACTGGAAAAGCTGAGGATTTGCCTCAGAAAGCTTGGATTGGAAAGCTGGAAACGTTGATAGCCAACAATTGGGGATGGGTTAAATAAGTGACTGAGTAGCCTCACCAGGAAGCACTGCACCACCGTTGAAACAGTAAACAAGTTAAAAAACAATGTTTGCAATAGGATCCCTTTTTTTTTGGTAAAAAAGTAATCTGGATGGATATTACACTAAAATGCAACACTGGTTGTGAGCAGTGAGTTTTAGCTTTACTGTTATGATTCGTACCGGGAACTTGTGGAATTAAATTATGCGTATGCTCTTCAAGGACTGGATATCAGTCTTAGTGCCAATATTTTCTAGATGGCTGATCTTAGATAAATCAAATTTGTGAGCCTCAGTTTCCTCATCAGTAGCATAAGGATAAAAACAGTATATCCTGAACTCATAGGCTTCAGTGAGGCAAATGAAACAAAAGTGTTTTTTAAAATAAAAGACGCAGTATAAATGTTCCCTATTATTAATTTATCTTAGGACAATGATCCGTTTTCTGCTGTGACAAAGAAGGATATATATGGAGGACAGAAAAAAAACGATCAATTGAAAACGATGACGGGGCGCTGGCATAGTCGCGTTGACACCAGCCTTTGGCCAAATGTCCTGTTCCACAGCAGTTTGTGAAGGAAGGAACAGGGAATGGATTTCCTGACGTGAATACTTCCTGAGCCTGGTTTTCTAGAACAGCTTGTCTTTTCTGAGGCTGTTTTGAAACGATAAGAGGCCATGCAGTGGTTTCACTGGCAGCACGGGTCCCCCCTCCCCTCTCATATTCCACTAGCAGGGCTTTCGCTTATAGCCACCTTTGGGGCAGACGTAGCTGTGATCCCAACATGACAGCAGGACGAGGAACGGGAGGGGAGGGGAGGGGAAGGTGGGGGGGACGCTGCCTTTGATACTGGATTCCCAGCCGCCGTAGCCGGCCTTGGATGCAAAGTGCTCTCGGAATGGCTACAAACCACCTCCAGAAAGAATCAGGAAGCCAAGATTGTATTCTCCTCTCCTTTGAAGCTATCCAGGGCTCTGATGGTCCCCGAAGGTTTGTTCACACAATGAGAAGGTGAAAATTCCTGGAAGGGGAGGAGGTGGGTGGAGAGAAAAGGAAGAGCTAGCCCCACAGGTTAAATCCTTCTGTGAAGACTTCAGGCTGGAGTCCTTTCCGGAGGCTGCGGCTGTCTCAGACGGTCACAGGTGCCTGGAGGGTGATGACAATGATGACCCAGGGCCTCCGGTCTGACGCACAGGACAAGGCTGTGAGGGCAGCACCAGTGTCATGACGGTTCCCAGGCAGGAAATGGAGGCTCTGGAAGTTTGGTGGCTGGTCCCACGCCGCCTGGCTCCCAGGAGGCAGAGCTGATGTTGGAGGCCAGACTGGTTCAGGACCCTTTGTCTCAACTGTTTCACCATCCTGCTGCTAAGACACCCGTTCTTAGGAAAAAGCCAGCTCTGCATAAGATTATCCCCAGAAAGCTAAGAGAAAGCATGGTCCCCATTCAGCCACCAAGGGCTATGTGAGGCCCTCCGGAAGTGACGTGGGCAGGGCATGGGCACAGGCCTCACTTCGGGTTGAAGACAGCAGATATCTGCAAGTGCGGTCTCTTCCCTTCCTTCATCTATCCACTCCTTCCTCCCTCTCTGCCTTCACTCCCTTTGTTCCTTCCTTCCTCCAACAAACATTGGTGGGGTAACCTGCTCTGTGCTGGGCACTGGAGCAGTTCCAAGCGGAACGAGACGTGGCTCCTGTTCTTGTGGGGGTCAAAGCTGGCGGGGAGACAGACTTCTCCCCCCAATACAGGCCGAGCACCAAGCCCTACGCGGGGTATGTGTGAGGCTGCCTGGAGCGCAGATCAGCCCTTGCCTCTTGTTATTTGCCGACTGCCTGGCAGGTTCTATGCCAAGTGACACCGTGTGTGTACCCATCTCCCTTGAACATTTGATTTGTTCCAGTAAAATCCTATTCATCTGAGTGCCAGTTGATGAACATTCATCAATTAAGCACGTTCAGATGGAGCACCTCGCAGCCAACGTTTTGGCCGCAGGTTGAGGCGTGCTCTGCCACCTTCTGGGGTGAGAACTTGTTCTGTCCTTCTCCTGATGGGCCCCGCCACTAGCCAGCTGGGTGCCTTGCTCAGAGGCATGTGGTTCAGCTCAGAAACAGCCCCCTGCATGGCCTGAAGAAAGCCCTCACTGCCTGTGAGCGTCGGGGGCCCCTCACGCCTCCTCGGCACACTTGGCTCTGTCTATGAACGTTCTTCGTGTACCTGGTGGGTAGGACATGCGGGGCTCTCCCAGGGGGGCTTGTGTCACTGTCCATGTGGGCACTCCATCAGGGGAGGGTTGTGGGGTCAGGGGCTGCCTTCATGGAAGGACCTCTGTGCTGGCGGGTGAGTCATTAGAGCAGCGTTGCCCAAACTGCTCTGAGCTTTGTTCTTTTCAATGAATCCCAGTGAAAGACGGCTGTCCCAAAGCCTGAGGGCACACGGTGCCTCATTCCATTCCATCCAGCTTCCCTCATTATTCTATTTTTCAAAACTATCTTTGATTTTCCAGAAAAAATGTATGCCCACTTGTCAAAACCTGCTTCTCTCTGACCCCTAAACCCCCTTGTGGTTGGAAATATATTAAATTCACTTATTCATTCAGTAAGGTGTGGTACGTTTGCAAATATTGAGTCCCCTCATCCAGGAGCATTGTTTGTCTCTCTATGTTTTTAGGTCTTCTAGAATGTTCTTTAGTAAGATGTTGTGGTTTTCTTATTATAGGTTTTGCAGAGCTATTCCTTAGTTTACTCCTAGAGGTTTTATAGTTTTTTTTAAAAAAGCTGTGGTAAAGAGACTACATCTATATGTTTATGTGTTAAATTTTCCATATATACGTTTACTTTACTTGCCTTTCAAAGAACACGTTCTTGAATGTGTTTATAAATTCTGTGTTTTGTTCTGTTTTCTAATTTCTTAATTTTTATTTTATTTTATTAAAACCATCCTTGTGCTGCCCTTGGGCTTATTTTATTCTTTTTATAGTTCCTTGCTTTGACTGCTTTCTTCATTTAGTTATTTCTTGTTCAAATATGAAAACATTTCAGTTTCTCATTTTTATTCTCTGAGTGCAGACTTGGCCAGATTCTGTATACTTTTATGTGGATTGTTATTGGTTATATTTTATAAGCATCTTTTAATTTCAGTTTTGATTTCTTCTTTGATTGGAGTCATTTGACGAAGTGATTTTTAATTTCTGGCAGGTTAGACTTTTTCATTTGTTTCTTTGTTGTTATTTATTCCTTTGCTATAAGGTCAAAGAATGTTATCTGTACTGTTTCTACATTTTGAAGTTTACTAAAGTTTTGTTCTGGCCAACTATATATCATGGATTTTTATAAACATCCATAAACATTTGAAAAAAATGTGTGTTCTCTGTCTTAGGGATACAGAATTGAATATGTATTTATTTGTCATGCATTTAACAAATATTTATTGAACGCTCGGTCGCTGATAAGCATGAGGCTGGACATTGAAGATGTGGAAAGTGAAGAAGACAGGCGTTGTCTGAGACATCGAGGGCTTAAATTCTGGTGGGAGCGGGGAAGGGGCAGTTACACAGGTAATTACAAATACTGACCAGAAATGCTGTGATGAGACAGTGTCCTGTCGTGGCCTTGGGGCACCCTGGGGAGTTTTCTGTAGAAAGAAACAGCCAAGCTTAATGGCATCTCAAATCTGTTTACGTCATATATTTTAGTACTATGTTATTTGATGCCTAGAGCTTCATGGCTATTACATCATTATTGTAGATGACAACTTTTCTATATATAAATACAAAATTACGCTCTTTGTCATGCTTAATGCCTTGAATCCTACTGCTCAATATTTCCAATAGTCCTTTTTGTGGTGTTTCTATGGGTTTGCTATATGTGTATATGCACACATGGACACACATAATTTCCATTCGTGTGTGTGTGTGTTTGTGTGGTGTGTGTGTGTGTGTGTGTGTGTGTGTGTGTGGTGTGTGTGTGCATGTTTACATATCGCTTGCCCATCTCTTTATATTTAGTCTTCGGGAGGGTGGTTTTAGGTGTGTCTCTTGTAAGCCATGTAGTAGCAGGTGTTCTTTTTCAACCCAACTGGTTCAATTGACTTCATATGTCCTTTATTCTCCTTGCAGACAAAATGAGGGGGCTGGCCATTTAGGCAATTATTTAAATAAAAACTTAATTGTATGATAGCCAATGCCTCGCTTGCCATGTGCCAGTCACTATTTTAAGTGCTTCGTATAAAGTAAATCAGTTGATTCCAGAAGCAACCCACTGAGGATGGAACTATGATTATACCCATTTTGCTGGTGAAGAAAACCAAGGCACAGAGATGCCAGGCAGCTTGGACCTGGTACAGAGGGGGTTTGATCCCAGGCAGCCTGGCCCCAGAGTGCATGTGGATAGACTCTGCACTGCACCCCTTCTCCGTTGCCACTTTCTGGCCAGGACACTGACAGCGATCACTTGGAAAGTGGGACCAGCCACGTAGGGTGGCCACAGTCCCAGTTTCCCCAGGGTTCTAGGTGGCGGGGGTGGGACTTCAGTGCTAAGACTCACGTGCGTCCTGCCTGATGCCCTCTTCCTACTGACATTGGACCCCCGCCTCCTGCTGTCATCCCCACAGAGCCCTGTGAAGCGATTGGAACGTGGGGGAGGAGGTAACTGGGGGAACCATCTGGAACTTAGGGGACATGCTATGATTTTTATGGCAAAAGGGGGCCCTAGTCAGTTCGTAGCTGCTTTCCTGACCCCCTCTGCGCCTTCTCCCCACACAAAGAATCCTGTGAGCACCAGAGGACAATAGGGCCCTTCAGGGTGGGAGAAGGAACCCTTTCATGCCTGCGCTGGACTTCTGTCCTTTAAGGGACCCTCCTTGTCCTGGGGCATCAGATGCTGTGGGAGGATCGGAGCTGTGAGACGGACAGGGTTGGGGTGGCCATCAGGACAGCCTGTGGCTGAAACTGGGGTTGTGGGGTTCCTGCAGGGAATGGTGGTAGGTGCCCACAGCAGGCCTGGGGGCTGTTTAAAGGCTACCTGGGGAGGCAGTCCCCAGTGTGACCTGGCCAGGCAGTCAGTGCCGACCTGAAGGGGGGACCTGAGGAGGGGGTGCCTTGTCTCAAAGGACCCTGTGTACTCGCTCAGATGCTGTCTTCCTGACTTCCTGGCTTCCTCCCAGAGAGAACCACCCCCGCCTTCTTGTAGCCCCCACATAGCTTGAGGTGGCCTGTTGTCCCACCCAAAGGCGATATACAGGTGCTTAATTGTGTTTGTCTACCAGGCTGGGCACTGCCCTCCCCCTTCTGTGCCCCTCCCTTCTCTTCTCCTCGCCTCCTTTCTGCTGCCGGTGGTCGGCCTTTCCTCTCTGCTGCTTCTTGCTTGATGAGATGAAACACTTAAACAAGCACTAATTACCCACAGGACCAGCTAACTGCAACTGGGATATGAGCTAACTCAGGTGCTCTCTTGACGCACAGGGGGTCTCTCCATTACAGCTGGGGTGGAGGAATAGACGGAGGGAAGGGGACCGCTCAGCTGTTCCTCTCAGGCTTGTCCCCTGAGGCCCCTGCTGTCTCAGCCCAGGAGGAGGGTGTCTGATGCTGGGATAGAGAGGGTGGGGGCCCACTCCCTCTGCATCTGGCAGACCCACTCTAGGCACCTGACAAATAGGGATCCAGTTCTTGGGGTGACCCCTCCTCTAGTCTCTGTCTCTCTCCCTTACCCCCTTTCTATGTCCTACCAGGAGTTAAGGCAAAACGCATGGAGCAATGTTGGGACAGGCCGGCAGAGGGATGTGAGTTGGGACTGGACTGCCTTCCCTTTGTTCAGAAAGACAGGACAAGGGGAGTTTTTCCCAATAGCGAGAGCTCCCCAGGGTAGGCAGTGAGTCCTCCACCGCTCAGAGCTGGGGTGCTACTTGCTGGACATGTTCTGAGACACTCAGCCCTGCAAAGTTGGCTAATACTCAGAATCATGGAGCAGCTGGGCCCAAACCCAGAGGCTGAATCAATCTGTCTAGGGCACAGCCCAGGGGTCGATATTTCTAGGAAGGTTTGGAGACTACTGCCTTAGCATAAAATGATGGCTCTATTAGATTAGAGTTGCCAGAAGAAATACAGGATGCCTAGTTAAGTTTGCATTTCAGAGAAACAACAGACTTTGAAAATATAAATGTGACCTAAATATGGCAAAGGACAAGTTTAAGTGTCATAGTGCACCTTTTTTTTTTGGCCTAAAGTTTGCAATCCTATGTTAGAGGACTTTTGGATTTCTCTTAACTTGAAGAGTCATGAAAGCATCAAGCGTTTATTAGGCACTTAGTATGTTCCAAGCAATGCTCTAGGCACCAGGGAAGCAGGTGAAGACCCCCTGCCGTCCAAGACTCTCTATTCTAGTTGGGGGTAGGGAGTGGGGGCGAAGCTGACAAAATCAGATTAATACATAAGACAAGTGTCGCTGGAGGAGGCGGCCATGATAAAAATGAGACAGTGATTGATGGAGGGCGAGGAGGGTGGGCGGAGAAGGTGGCGCTAGGGGCTCCAGGGACCTGTCTACCTAGGTCACTAAGAAACTTTTCTTTATTTTCTTTCTTTTTTTTTGAGCTTCATATTTAGCCCTTTCATATGTTGTGTGATACCAGGGAGAAAACTTGAAATAAAACCACCGTTTTTTTGTCTTTGATGATCGAACGTTTGGCAAGTATATCTTTTGTTTCAAAGAAGCCTTGAATTGGAGTTAATACTACAGAAAAGCTCACTCATGGCTCAACCAATGAGCCGTGAGCACAAGATCATTAAATTCATTGTCTTCCTTCTGCAGTTCTGTAAATGGATGACTCACTCACAGCACTTTTATGTAAATAGAGAATAATTTTAACCGTCGTGTCCGTGATACTTTTCAGAGTCTGCTCCAGAAAACAAACACCAATATATTTATGTATCATACAGTAGAGCACAACATTAAAAGAAACACTAGTCTCTTGTTTTAAAAAGTCCAGTAAATCTGATTTTTTAAATTTAATACAGCTGTAGCATCATCTGTTGTTATAGAAACTCATTTTCTCATTTTTTTGCTGATGGGCTTATCTCACTTAGTAATATGCATTTAAGTTTCCTCCACGTCTTTTTATAATTTGACAGCTCACTTCTGTTTAGCACTGAATAATATTCCACTGTCTGGATGGACCATAGTTTATCCATCACCTACTGAAGGCCATCTAGGTGGCTTCCAAATTTTGGCAATTATGACTAAAGCTGCCATAAACATCCGTGTGTGGGTTTTGTGTGGATATGGGTTTTCACTTCCTTTGGGGTAAATATCAAGGAATGTGATTGCTGGGTTGTATGGTAAAAGTATGATTTGTTTTGTAGGAAACTGCCAATAACAGACACCTAACGAAAGAAAAAATACAGATGGCAAATAAGCACATGAAAAGACGCTCCACCTCATATGCCATCAGGAAAATGCAAATCAGGACAATGAGAAACCACTGCACTCCTATCAGAATGGCCAGAATAGTGGACCTGAGGACAAGGATGGAGGAGCAGAAAGCTGGAAGGCGCCAGGCGCCAGGTAGCTTCCTGGAGAAGAGCTACCACCTCAGCCCTAGACTCTCACCTCTAGATATCTTTCATAAGAAAGAAAAATCAACTTTTCTCTTATTTTAGCCAATGTTATTTGTGGGTTTTCTGGTTTTGCAGCCAAACCCTAACACAGCATCCTTGAACGACACCTCAGGCAATCCCATCACTTTCTGGTCATGATTCGGGCAGTCTAGTTTGAAAATCCAATCTCATATCCAGTTAAAATCTTACCTCCTCCTTCTGCTAAGCGTGGTCAAGTTTGAGGCTCCTGGGACTTGGGGGTAGACAGATGAGACAAGCCATAAGTAACCATTAGAAAAGTGAGGCTAAGTCTCAAAGGGCACTATGAGAGGAAGGTGATTCATTCTGAGGAGGGTCCCAGGAGGCTTCCGGTTGGCACTGGCACTTGGGGAAACTGTGATTGTGATGGGCAGACACCAGGAGGTGAGCAGTCACCAAAGCCTGAGAATACAGCCAGGTTTGGGAGTGGAGATCAGACAGCAGGGCCGACAAGCATTCCTTCCAGGTCGTGTCCAGGCAGAGAGCAGGTCTACTGCACCCACCCTTTTGCCACTGAGTGTGACTCTCCCACCCCATGGCTGCCCAGGGGGTCGGTTTCCCGCTCAATAAGGCTCCCCTGCCCTCGATGCTTCTGGGAGAAATTATGTCTCTTTATCTTTCCTGTTGGGCTTTCCAACCCGATTTCTCATGGCCGTGTCTGCTCACTCCCACCCTCGCTGACCCCCAAATCTGAACTAACTTTGCACCCAGCCTCAGGGAAGCAACTCCCACGTCTGGGGTTTACTTTGAGGTATTGAGCTGCAGTGGCCCAGGAGGCACCCCATTCTCAGAGAACTGACCCTTCCCCTCCCCAGCCACATGTGGTGGACAGCTTTATTTCGGAGGCCCTGCATCCATTGGTTACAGTCAATCCGACAGGCATGGATGGATACCTGCCCCTTGGTGGCCCCATCAGAATCTGTGTCCTGCTTATTTGGAGCTGGGCCTCGGGCACTCCAGTACAGAGATTGCCCAGAGGGGGCACCCCTAACCTTTCTGGTACATCCCCCTTTGGAGGTTGGCCTCTGCTCCTTGAAAACACGAGGCTCATTCCGGTACTCCACAACCTGGAGCCGCGAGTGCCTTTGTAAGCCTCTTTCTGTCTGTCAAGAAATGGGAATGCAGTGAGAAGGGGCTGTCCCTTCACCTTCACTGCGTCCCTACTGTGTGGACCGAGTCACACCAGGGAACCACTGCTTCCCGCCCCGCAGGGAGCGCCGGCAGAGCGGGTGGGGATGCGAGGCTGGTGTGTGCTCAGCTTCAACGTTACTGTTCACTATTGCTTCTCCTGAGAGCCATTGAGTCTTTGGCACATAGGGACCCTTAGAGTCAGTTTCATTAGAGAAAGAGCCATCTTAATTCCCGTCGGGAGAGGAGGCTCTGAATCAAACGGCCGCCTCCCCTGCGCCTCCAGAGCATCTTCAGGCTGACCCCCAGAGCCTTCTGTCAGGGAAAAGACTGGACCGCCCAGTCATTATCGACAGAGATGGCAGACGGCCATTGATTGGGAGTACGGAGCGAGTCTCTTTCATTTCCAAGTGCCAGCTGCAAGCAAGTGATGGACGGGTCTGGGTGAGATTTCGTTTCTCCGGGAGCTGGGTGACACGGGGACTCTGCAAACGGGGTCTGCCTGTCTGCACGGCTCAGGGACATAATCAGCCCCAACAAGTCACTCACCTTTAGAAGGAGAAAAATAGTCATACGCCCCTGATGGATGGGTTTGCTACAGTGAGAATATAAAAGTTTAAATGACTTCGATGACTGTCTGCTTTCTCTGCAATACAAATGTCCTGTTCCACTTGAGTCCTCCTCCCTGTCCCCACTGCCCCCCTCCCCGCCCCCTGCCGTGGGTGCTTCTTCTCCTGGCGGGTCACAAAGCTATTCTTCTTGCCTCCTGATTCTCTGCAGGCTGGTCCATCCCAGTGCAGACCAGGGAAGAGCAGGTCCTGAGGACGCAGTCGGAGTGCTCACGTCGAAAGGACAGAGGAGAGGTGCTGGGTAGGGCAGCCTCGGGGCTCCAGGACACTGCTGGGAACTCAGATGAGCTTTCAAAGTCCTAAAGGATGTATCTGCTGCTGTGCTGCCGCTGTGACACTGCCGTCACAGCAGTCACCACACTGCCCTGCCCCCATCAGGGGAGGTCAGCCCAGAGGCACTGACTGCTGGCTCACCTGCTGAGGGAGAGGGGAGCCGTGTCAGCGCCATGCTGTGCACACCCTGAAGTACCCAGAATGCCCTGGGCATCCTGCAGGCGCTGGTGCAGTGGGTGGCGCCTGAGAGTCTTCGTTTCTGACAAGCTCCTGATCCAGCAACCACACGTGGCGAGACAGCTCTGTTGAGGTCTTTCTGATCTTTAATCTCTGACTGCTCTGTCCTCCTGAAGGAGCCAGGCATTTCAAGGACTGTGGTGAATAAACACACCCAGAAGGTATCACATAGACAATGTCTATCTGTATGGTTCTGGTTCAGGTTTGATCACAGAGGGAAGTCGGTTTCTTCTCTAGCAAAGCAGAGAGTCACAGCCCCAACAGCCCTAAAAAGAAGCGCGCATAGGTGCTCTCTTCTGCTAAGCAAGAAGGCGGAGGGCAAGGAAAGAAAGTCACATGACTCATCTACCCACTGGCACCAAGGGCTGGGAAAGGAGGAGACCCACTCTGGAGAAAGAGTCAGCAGGTTAGGGTCGGGTGTGAGGACAGCCAGATGGAGCTGGGAGAAATTCCCCAACTTTTCACGAACCCCCACCCCTTCCCTCCTGGGTCTGTCCTGGGAGGAAGGCAACACCACTGTTCTCCTTCGCCACACTCTGCAAGGTTGAGGCCCATCGGGGTCACATACGGTCAGTGAAGCCCACAGCACCCCGTCAGAGAGCTAGCTTTGGAGATGATATTGAACTTTGACCTGGGGGTGGGGGTAAGTCCCACTGCTATGACCCAGTCTCTCATCCTGTCCTGGTGGCGGGGAGCTAGATCAGAGCAGACCAAGCCCTGGACTCTGGACTGAGACATAATTAGATCTCTCTGGGGCTCATCACCTCCTGCCCAGTGGCCTTGAGCATGCTGCTTTGCCCTCTGTGCCTCAGTTTCCTCCCCTGTGAAAGGAGGTAGCTCACCTATCCCTTCTGAAATTTAATTCACCAAATTTGCCCCAACCTCAAGAAGCAAAAGTAGACAAATGCAGCAGTGGCCCCAAGGAGGACCTCCCCACCAAGATGGGAACTTCCGTCTCGGTCACACTCTTACCCCCATCTGCTGGTGACCCCCGTCTTCCCAGCTTGGAGGTTCCTGATGCCGCCACACCAAGAACCTGTCTCTAGAGGCCTTGGTGCCAGAGGAATCAGTGGCTCAAATCAAATGCCTCCTCGTTTAACCCTAAAAGACAGGCTGTCACCTCCAGAATTGACCCAGACTGCGAGTTCTGGAGGGGCGGAGACCCAACCCATCTTTCCTGGTCATTCGCCAGCAGCTAGCACCGTGCCTGACACATACTTGATAAATACTTCTGAGTTTATGAAAAAGTGAATGTTAGAGTTAAGCTCTGGAAGTCCCAGGAGATCTTAAAAAGTAGGCCATCATGCCCAAGTTCTCCGGTCCTGGTTGTGGCGATGGAGGGAACCCAGACAAGCGGGGCCAGGAGGCTGGATGACGAGGGCAAACCCTCCTCCTGAATTCCGCCCCTTGAACGGAGCTGCCCTTTGTCTCCTCTTACAGAGTGAATTGGTCTCTGTCTGTCAGGACAGAGCTCGTTTCCAACAAATGCACATAGATTAGAGAGCTGATCAAACGCTCTGTTAACGTGGCACTTTAATAACAATATCACTTAGATCTCAAACTGCTTAATTAGATTTCACTCATTGCCATCACTTGCCTCATTTGAACAGCTCATTTATAATTTATGATCTTTATGCATTTGGTTGTTCATTTGTAAAATTAGAGAAAACAATCACCAGGCAAAAGGAAAGCTAAAGAATGCAGGGCCGGCTGAGTGGCGCGGTGGTTGGGAGCTGGCTCGGGACGCCAGAGGGCCCCGGTTCGGATCCCACATATGAGGGCCAGTGACACTGCCCTCTACAGCTAAGATGCTGAACAACAGCTC